TTTGTTTTTTTTTTGTTTTTTGAGACAGGGTCTTACTATGTAGTTGAGACTGACCTGGAACTCACTGTGTAGCCCAGGCTGGTCTTGAACTCACAGCGATCCTCCTGCCTCAGCCTCCCGAGTGCTGGGATTACAGGCATGAGCCACCATGCCCAGCTACCTAAATATTTTAAATTTTAACAGAATGATTGAAAATAAACAAAATATGAACAGAAGTTTCTTTAAGTTAGTATCAATATAAAAGGGAAAGATATTTTTGAATGTCATAAATCTTGTTCTTCTTTTGAAGCCCTTTGGTTGAGTGCTCTATAACGGTGGGAAGTGTTAGTATCAAATTTATACAGAAGGTCTAGATCTGGTCTTTGTATTCAGAAACAACTTTTCAGTTTAAATATGCTAGTAAAAGATATTAAACTTTAAAACAGATTTACTTGAAAAGCAGCAGAGAGGAAAAATGATAGTTTTATTTTGTTATCATTATAGCTGAAATTAAAAATGATCCTGTGGGGCCAGGGACTTAGCTCAGTGGTGCCGCCGAAGGTCCTGAGTTCAATCCCCGGTAACAAAAAAAAAAAAAAAAAATTGATCCTGTGAAAATTTCTTCTTTTAGAAAGACACTTCTGTTGGCTCGACAGCTTAGAGACAGAGCTGTAGAAGCTCAGTCTTGCTACAGTCTTGGAAACACATACACTTTACTTCAAGACTATGAGAAGGCCATTGATTATCACCTGAAACACTTAGCAATTGCTCAAGAATTAAAAGATAGGTAAGTTATACATCCTTTTTCTCTAGTGAAGGTAAAATATAGATGTATTATTAAATCCCTAGGGCTTTTCCTTTGACTGTTTTCCATTTGTTTCCTTTTTAAGAAATTTCCCTCTTCATGAATATCCCCTGCATGTTACTGTTTGAAAGGCTGTCCTATGGTAGAGTATTGGTCTGGTTCCAAATGCCCTTGAGCCAGGACCAGCAACTGGGTCACAAACTCAGCTATAGCTGTAGAAGTCCTCCTGCCTAGATCAGTATGGGATCTATGGTGAACTTAGAACAGTTCATTGTCAAGAGGCCCTGCTACTTAGTTCTAGCTGATTGCTGCCAGGCAGGAGCAAGGTCTGTTACAAAGTTATGCTCCCTTTTCTTTTTTTTTGGTACCAGAGATCCAATTCGGGCCCTTGGACTTGCGAGTCAGGCGGCAGAACTACTGAGCCAAACCCCTGGCACACAAATGCTCCATTTTTTAAGAGAGGCTACAAGTCCTGTGCTGCATATAAAATCTCCTGATATTTAGGTGTTGGTGACTATTTCATTTGTCTGTCTTGCTATGTTGAAAAACACACTTGCTGTGTGTTGAAAAAACAACACATCTGTGCTGGCCTGTGGTCTTCTGTCTTGCTTCAGAGGATCAGTTTTTACATCAGCATGAGAAATGACTTTGCAGTACATTTGTTCTTCAAGATGAAGTATACTACCTCAAGAGATTGCACAGGTTTCTCTCCCTAGTATTCAAATACACACTGAATGATTCCCTGGTAAAGTTGTTCTAGGAAGATTTTAAAAGAGTGTCTTTCATGTTTTGATATTCTCTGGGTTTAGGATTATCTGAATAGTCTCATAGTTTCTAAAGTAACAGACCAGATAAATCCACAGTATTGTTTACGATGGTGGTGGTGAACCTTTTTAGAGCTTTCAGTGATCACAGCGCCCTGCAGCACATGCGCTTTAGGTTCACCACCCCTGGTTTAGATATTTAGTAATTGCTAAATCTTTTTGTCTTATATAGACCTCTTCTCAGATAACTGCATGCTTGTTCTGAATTGTTTTAGAATTGGTGAAGGAAGAGCATGTTGGAGCTTAGGAAATGCGTACACAGCTCTAGGAAATCACGATCAAGCAATGCATTTTGCTGAAAAGCACTTGGAAATTTCAAGAGAGGTATGCAGTGGGAAAAATTGCTGTCTGTGCTATTTTAATTTTTGAATCAGTGACATGGGGGAGGAACTCTTATTTCTTCTGATTGCTCTATATGGCTAAATAACGTTTGATTTTATATTGTTTTCTTGGCATCCACAAAATAGTTTGAGACAAGAAGGTAAAGCCAGGCATGAGGGAAAGGAGGACATTACTAAAATATACCCCCTCTCCAGCCAGTGGATTTAGCTCAGTGGTGCCACTGCCTGCCTCACAGGTGCAAGAGCCTGAGTTTAATCTCCAGTACCAAAAAATAAAAAATAAATTTAAAAAATATATATATAAAATATACGCCCCCCCCACCTTCATCGCTACATCAGAATTAGCATGGTTCTTAAGGAATAATGGCTTTTAGAATCAAGGTCTGGTTCCTGTTATACTTCTGCCCCTTGGTGGGTATTTGAGCTTGGAAACCTTTTCTGAGCCTCATTTTTCTCATCTGGAAGATAGGAATAATAATATCCACCTTGCAAGTTGTTCTGATTAGAGGTAATGTAACTAGGGGTGCCTGGCATAATATTTAGTGGTGATTTAATAAATGTCACTATTGTTAGAATGTAGAACTGAATATTTTTTTTTTGTACCAGGGATCGAACTTGGGACCTTGCACTTGCAAGCCAGGCAGCAGCACCACTGAGCTAAATTCTTGGCCCAAAATATTCTTAAGGAAAATATGTTTATATGATGCCACATTGATAGTTGATATGTCACAGGATAACCTATATTATTTAATATAATCTTAGAGAAAAATAAGAGCATTCTAACATTTAAAGAACTAAAGAGTTAAAAGAATATAATTAGCTGGCCTATTGTGATATTTTAGAAACTCAGTCTTTTCTTCTGTATTTAAAAAAAAAACAAAAACCACAATCAACTGATTGTGTTCATTCAGTCTCTTACTTCTAATATAACTATATTCATTTTCCTGTATTGTCTTCCAGTTTTAGAGTCACAACATTTTCAGCAAATCTTCATCATTCTGTGTCTTTAAAGTTTTAAATACTACTCTAAAATATCAATATTTGTGATTGTAGGTTGGGGATAAAAGTGGTGAACTCACAGCACGACTGAATCTCTCAGATCTTCAAATGGTTCTTGGTCTGAGCTACAGCACAGATAATTCCATAATGTCTGAAAATATTGAAATTGATAACAGTTTACATGGTAAGTAACAGGTCTTCTGAAACCCAATCTATCCTCACAATTTACATTAATTACTCATCACATTACCGTATCGAGAAAGAATATGTGACATGAGTTTAACTTTCTACACTTTTTTGTTTTTCATAGTTCTATTAAGTTGTAGATAAAGAGTACAATATAGTTTTTTTATGAGTTTAGGAATGGTAAATGTATTTTCTTTTGTAAAAACACATTTAAGTATTGTATTTAAACTCATTTAAAAATCTATAAATATGAAGATACCCAAACCAAAACATTCTTTTGTTTTATCTTTTTTATTTCTCATAATATTTATATATCTGAGTTTTGTTTAGTTTTTCCCCCTCATTTCATTTCTAAGATGAAATCTCTTGGAATTGTTTTCTCTTTTTTTCAGAAAGCCTAGGAAACATTCTTTTCGATTTGTTTGATGGCTAAACCAATTTTTAGGAAACTTTCTCTAGGTACTGATTAGGTTTGACATTGCTGTGGGAGAAACCTGCCATTCTATATCTAAGTGGATAAAAAAGCTACTTTGATTAGAAAAATAAAAAGACAAAATTAGGATAACATTTCTTAATTACTCTCTCTGTGACTATGAAATACATTTTTAAAATCTGATTCCTAAGTTTGAGAAATGATCAGTTTGAAAAAATTACAAATACAGACAAATATTTTGAATTTGAAAGTCAGTGCAAAGTCTAGCTTTTATTTTTCTAAATTCCTTCCCTAAACTCATATAGAGAAAAGAAAGAAGAACAAGAAATTAGTAGCCAGTCATCTATCTTTTTAAGACTTTCAAAGAATTTTTGGTGAAAAATTCAGAAGTATGAGCTGTGTAATAGACTTTGCTTTGTAATTGGATAATGGCCTAAAATGTTTTCCTCTGTTTGATTTTAAATAAATTATTTTATAGAAATTATCATCTTATAAAACTGTCAGTAGTCTTCATAGATTCCTCTAGCCGTGGACCCATTCCTATGTTCCCTTCATAACAAAATCTGAAAAATTATGTACTTTCTCGCTTCCCTTTCTCTCCTGAAGCCACTGTACTCAAGCTTTAACCCCACCCTGGCACTGAGATGACTTTCAAGGTTCCACCAGTGCTCCATTTTACGAAATACGTTTGTCAATTTTCAGATGCCAGCAATATTTTCTATAGCTGACCATTCCTACCTCAAAAGCTCTCCAGTGTTAACACTACTTTTCTAGTTTGCTACTTGCAGTCTTTACTCTCTCTTCTCTTCTTTTCATATTTCCCTCCTCTGAGTTTGTAATTCTCAGGGTTTATTTAGTTCTTGGATTTGTTTATCCTCCCTCTCCCCTTTTCCTCCCAGTTTTCCTTCAATTTTGATTTCTCCTTTTCTATGCGCTAGGTCAGTGCTTCCAGTAGAACTTTCTGTGATGACAGAAAAGTTTTATATCTGTACTGTCCAATAAAATAGCCACTAACTACATGTGACTGTTAAGCATTTGAAATGTGATTAGTGCAAAAGAGGAAATGATTTTTAAATAATATTTAGCTTTAATTAAAATGTACATAGCCATGCTAAGGGCAATAATACACACCTTACTATTCCAGCTGCTTGGAAGGGCAAGGAGGATCACAAGTTTGAGGTCAGCCTCAGCAATTTAGTGAGATCCTTTCTCTTGAGTTTGGGACCATATTTATCACATTTCCACTTGAATCCAAAACATGTTTCTCCCAAACACACTCTTCCACAGTCTGCTCCATCTCAGGAAATGGTGCTACTGTTCATTCAGGTGTTCAGGCCAAAAACCTAGATGTCATGCTTGGTCCTTTTCTTCCACTCGTTTCTACATGCAACCCATCAGAAAGCCTGCCTTTATAGTATATCCCTCATCTCTCCCCGTGTGCACTGCAGCCTTAGTGCATGTCACCTGTGTCTCCAGTAGAAGTAGGTACTTTTCTCACTTCACCTTCCCTCTTTACACTCTGACTTTTCTACACGACAGCAGGGGTCCTCCTCTAAAATGTAAATCATATGTCATTCGTCAGATGCACAACACATCTTGAACCAAGTCATTTTCACCATGGTTAAGAGACCCAGTCTGCCTCTTTTCCTAATATTTCCCTGCTTGCTCAGTCAGACTCCACAAGGACAGGTTTTTATTTTAAATTGTTTTGTTGTTTTTTGTTGCTGGATCCTTATCTAATTTTCATACTGACTCAGGGTAAAAGAGTAGGGAGCTTCTTTAAGAATCTGAATACAGGGCTGGGGATTTAGCTCAGTGGTTCGGTGGCCTGCCTTGCCAGTGCAAGGACACAAGTTCAATCCCCTGTACCAAAAAAAAAAAAAAAAAAAAAGAATCTGAATACATAAGCCTACCTACATACTGGTTTGGAATTTAATGTAAGAAACCCAGTCCATTAAGGTGTTTAAGGTGTTTTGGGCTAGAAGGGCTTCTAGGTACTAACAGAAGGCCACTGGGATTGTAGCTGAGTGGCAGAATGCTTGCCTGGTATGTAAAAGGCCGGGGGGGGGGGGAATATGGCTTAAAAATAAAAGCATCCAAGTGGAAAAGGAATAAAAAATCCAACTACACAGGAACTTGTAAGAGAAATATCTAAAACATAAGGATATAGTAAGCCTGAAAATAAAAAGTATAGAAAAAAGTTACAGCATATAAAAACTAACCAAAAGAAAACTGTTAAAGTGGTAACACAAAAGGTCCATGAGCTAGGGATACTGGGGAGTAGCTCAGTGGTAGAGTGCTTGCCTAGCATGTACAAGGCCCTGAGTTTGATCCCTAGCACCCCCATGCCCAAAAAAGTTTTATTAAAAGTGAAAGTCAGGGCTGGAGATTTAGCTCAGTTGTTCTGCCATCTGCTTTACAAACTCAGGGTCCCAAGTTCGATCCCTAGTACCACCCCCCCCAAAAAAAATCCTACTAAAAGTGAAAGTCACTTCACAGTATCAATTCACAATGATTAATGAGTTTAATTCATCAAGAAGATAAAAGTAATTTGTCTAGGCTGGTGGCCTAACAAAATGTCAAATGTATTTAAAAGCAAAACTAATGAAAGAAATGGTAAAATTTGAAATCATAATGGGAAATTTTAACACATCTTAGTAACTGATAGAAGATAAAGCTTACTCACATCAGAAGACAGACTATTATAAAAGATGTCTCTTCCCCCAAGTTGACATAAGTTCAGTGCATTTCCAAAAAAATCTCAATTGTTTTTGTGGATTTTGATGAGGTTATTCACAAATCTATATAGAAAGAAAAAAAAAGGCCTGGAGAAAGCCAAAACATTCCTTCTAAAGAACAAGAAATGAGCCAGGCCTGGTGGTACATGTCTGTACTCACAGCACTGTGGGAGGCTGACGCAGGAGGATGGTTTTAGAGCCCATCCCGGGCAGCGCAGCAATTTAGTGAGACAGACACTCAGAGAAGTGCTTTCTCTGTGCTTGCTGCTGGCACAGAGACATACAATTCAACCAGCTGAACAAAATACTCTAGAGTGTATATTCCTAGCATGTAGAGAAAAGAAAGTCCCACACAAAAATAGATTCTCAAGGAATTCGGGATTTAACTAGGAAAGATCTAAAGTAACAGCGACACTGGCTAGCATTTGGTGAATGTTTACTCCTTACCTGACATTGTGCTGACTGACCCCTTTATAGACGGTGATACAGTGTCACCACCCAGCAGTATTATTATTCTTTACACATGAGGACACTGAATCACAGGGCAGAAACTACCAAGGTCACATCAGATGAGTGGCCGGCCTGCCCTTACGATCCATGCTCATCCAGTATATTCCACTACCATGGAGAATATCTTGTTGGTTTCAGTGAACAAGAGGACCCTTAAGACACAGAAATGAAAATCATTAAAAAAAGACTGACTTTGAAACAAAAAACTTCATTTCATTTTCTTAAAAAAAAAGAGCCGGGCATGCTGGTGCACACCTGTAATCCCAGCACTCCGGAGGCTGAGGCAGGAGGATCGCTGTGAGTTCCAGACCAGCCTGGGCTACACAGTGAGTTCCAGGTCAATCTCAACTACATACTGAGACCCTGTCTCAAAAAACAAAAAAAAAAAAAAGATAAACTGAGTGGAAATATTTGTCACATAAGTGATTAAAAAGGGATTTGCATCCAAAGTCTGAGAAAACTATTTGAAATTAAAAGTAGAACATATAGCCTAAGTAAAAACAGTGCAAAATGATGACCAGAAGAAACAACCCATAAATGTGCAATAATAAATTTAACTTCATTTAATCAGTGAAAATCACTCAAGTATTATTGAAAGGTCATGAGTTGAACAAAAATTTAGGTCTGATATCAGTATTGACATGATATCAAGTAGTGGAAATTCTGATACAGTACTGATGGGACAGAAATTGGTATCTTCTGAAGAATTGGCAACATTCTGCTTGTTAAAGATGTACCATATCTATGATCCAGAATATGTCCTGCTGCCAGTATGTATCCCTGTTATCTAAACTGGACTGCTCCTGTACACCAAGAAAAATTACTAGAAATTTCTACAGTGTTGCTTGCAATAGAAAAAAATATTAGAAACAACCTAAATGTCACTAGTAAAACACATAACTTCCCCTCTTAAAATGGTAGTGAAAATGACTTAAACTACACATTAGCTTGGATGAATCTCAACAAGGTTGCTCAAAGAAAGCAAGTTGAACTTCAGTGGTTCTGCCACCTGCCTCACAAGCGCAAGGACCCAAGTTCAATCCCCGGTACTAAAAAAAAGAGTTTAAACAGTATGATATCCTTTGTAAACATTTCACAACAGTACAGATAATGCTGTTTTGCTTAGAAATGCATTCTTATATGAAAATATATAAAAATGCAGGGAGCAGGGAATAGCTCAGTGGTAGAGGTGGGTTCTGTCCTCAGCACCACAACAAAACAAGTGCTGGAAGAAAGAGGGAAGTTACAAGAAGAGTTACACAAAATGGAGTCAATGTGTGGTAATGTTATACTTTCTAAGCTATATCGTTATTAGGTATCACATATTCCTTATGCCTTTGATAATACTTCCTAAATTTTAAAAGATTGAATGGTTATGGGAATTCTCTGTACTGTACTTAATATTTTATAACAATTGAAAAAGTTTTAAGAACCATTGCTTTTATTTAACTTGTTTCCTGACTGGCAATAAACTCATCATGTAAGGAGATCTTAAGATGGAAAAGGGTAACTTAGGAGTAACAACACATAGTATTTGGGATGGTATTTTTATTCTTTTCTCAAAATTGAAGGCCTAAATGCTTTTCCTTATGCATTTACTGAAACTACTATGGTTTGGTTTTCGTGAGACTGTGGATAATATTAAACCAGTTATAATAAAATGCCTTTTCAAAATTAAGGGTTAATGTTAGTAACCAATGATGAGTTTCCAAAGAAACTGTAACCTCTTTATATCAAAGCATTGTAGACGGAGTGTGTATTTTTATGTAGCTGGTATGGAAAATACTATTTAAAAAGTACGTGTTTGCATATGTTTCTTCCTTTCATAAGTGTTTGTACATCAGACTTTAGAAGTGAATTATATAGAGATGCTGAATTTGTACTCTTAAGGACCTCCTGGTTTATTTGAATTATTTTTTATTTTTACAAAGGAGCACGCCCCAAGTTGGGACGCCGACACAGTATGGAAAATATGGAACTTATGAAGTTAACACCAGAAAAGGTAGGGCGTTTTTATGTTATAAACTTTATAAACTGTTAGTTAAATAAGCTTTTTCATTTATAAATATCACTTAAGATTTTGCCCGTAAGAAGAATCGGGGCCGGGGATTTAGCTCAGTGGCACTGTGCTGCCTCTGAATGCAAAGTCCTGAGTTTGGTCCCTGGTACCCCCGCAAAAAAAAAAGAATCAGATAAAGTACAGTATAGACAGAATGTAGTAGCATCCTCCTGTCTGATTAAGAAAAAGAAATATGGATATATATCCTTTATAGATTCATAAAAGATGGAAAGTTGTGTAGGAAGCTTGGTGATGATTATTGCTTCTGGGAAGAGAATTGGGTGTTTGAGGTAGGCTACGTGTACTTTGTGTACCAGTTTGAACTATTTGAATAATTTTAAAATGTTTTACCATGTAAATATATTACTTCTTTTTAATTAAAAGAATACCAGGTAGGGCCAGGGATTTACCTCAGTGGTTCTGCCACCTGCCTCGCAAGCACAAGGACCCAAGTTCAATCCCCGGTACTAAAAAAAAAAAAAAAAAAAAAAAAAAAAGAAACAGGAAGATCAAATAGGAGTTAAGACGCTTTTTTTAAAGTATATAAAACATAGTGACATTGTCAAGGTTAATGAAATTTATAATCAAGAGAAGAGTATTCTTTCTGGCTGTTTTTGGAGAGGCCTTTTTAAACTGATATAGAAGGTACATTTTACTCAAGATGCATCTTCCCTAGGTTTCGGGGGAGTGTAGCAGAAGGGACTTCCTAATTTGAAAAAGGTTTTTTGAAGAACAAGTAAAGGCTCTTCAACCTCCACTTAATTTTATATTGGTAAAATAGACTCTCCTTCCCTTGTAATACTTTCTTGTTTTGTTTTTTGAGATAGGGTCTCACTATAAGGTTCAGACTGACCTTGCACTCACTATGTAGCCCAGATTGGCCTCAGATTTATAACAGTTTTCTGCCTCCAGAGTGCTGGGATTATAGCTACCACACCCAGCTTCCCTTGTGATACTTTTTAAAAAATGATTTTTATAAAATAGGTTCATCATCAACTTTAAAAATCCAGCAAGGAAATAAAAATATCAGTAATCTCACCTCCCAGTAGTAACTGCAATTAATTTTTGTTTTAGTATCCTTCTGGCATTTTAATTTGAATGTTATAGATACTGATTTGCCATAAGTAGTTGTGTGTCAGGAACATCTTTACGTGTCATTAGTCAGAAGAAGCCCTATCATACTAACTAGCATATATATGATTTTGTAATACTGACACTTTTTGTGTGGGTTACCTTAAAAAAGTCCAGCATTTAATGGCCTTGGATTCATAGCCAACATTTTAGCATTTTCACAATTTTATAAAAACTCTGGTAACTTCTGAAGGAATTTGTGACTGTCCCAAAATATACAGCTCTCATCTTCTGTGTAGTTTTCAAATATAAATCTATTAAATTAATTTTTTTTTCTTTTTGGTACCAGGGATCTGGTGACCTTGCACTTGCGAGGCATGTGTGGCACAAATTAATTTTTTTTTAAACTCTAGGGCCAGAACTCTAGCTTTTGTTCTTATTTTCATAGGAACCTACTCCCCACTAAAAAGCAACAAAATTAATTACCACCTGCCTCCATCTGTAATGGTACTAACAGAAAATTTTATAAGAAGTTGACAAGATTCAGCCCTGTAATTCTCCAAGAGCAAAGTTTTATCTTTATTTTAAAATGTCTTGGGCCAGAATTTAGCTCAGTGGTTCCACTGCCTGCCTCACAAGTGCAAGATCCTGAGTTCTATCCCCAGTACCGAATATGTAAATAAATAAATAAAATATCTCTTGCTTATAATAAAAATGCCAAAGTTTATATATTTTCTTACTCTCAATAAAATAGATATATATACTTAAGGAGCAAAGGAACCTGAAGTATGATGCTTCTTGGTAAAGAGGGGGGAGAAAGGGAATTTTTGAGACTTGGATAAGTGGAAGTGTCCTTTGTAGTCTCACGTTTGGCAATAGAATTTGTTGAGAGCTGGGTGCGTAGCTCAGTGATAGAGCTCGTGTTTAGTACACAGAAAGCCTTGCTTCTGTCCTAAGCAACAAAAAGAAAAGCCTGAATTCATGGTTGAAAAATAACTTTTCTTCATAACTTTAAAGATATCATTCCACTGTTCCACTTGGTTCACTTTTAGTGTCATGAGATGTCCAAATAATTAATAACTTTATATAATTTTTTTTCACAACACTACTTGGGTGTTAGGTACAATTCTGTTTTTTGTTTTTTATTTTGGTACCAGGGATTGAACTCAGGACCTTGCACTTGTGAGGTAGATGGTGGCACCACTGAGCAAAATCCCTGGTCATCTATGTTCTTATATTAAGAACTATTGCTGGGTGTGGTGGCGCACGCCTGTAATCCCAGCACTCGGGAGGCTGAGGCAGGAGGATCGCTGTGAGTTTGAGACCAGCCTGGGCTACATAGTGAGTTCCAGGTCAGTCTCAACTACATAGTGAGATCCTGTCTCAAAAAAGAAAAAAACAGAAAGAAAAAAAAAAAAAGAACTATTTTCTTACTCATGCAAGATGTACCTGCCTGTAATTCCCACACTCTGGGAGGCTGAGGCCAGAGGACCACAAGTTCAAGTCCAGTCTAGGCAGTTTAGCCGCTTAGCAAGACCTTCTTTCAAAATGATAAAAGGCTGGGGATATATCTGGGGCAAAGGCCCTGGGTACAATTCCTGGTACTACATACAGACATAAGTGCCATTTTTTTTCTCCCATCAATAGAAAAGAAGTTTGCTATAGCAAATAATTTCCCCTTGTAATTTACATACAAAAAGGAATAAGGTTTAATTCATTTACTAGCTCCATTCTCATTCCTGTAAATGAGCAGAGCAAGGATTACTCCAATTTGTACCTTGTAATAGGGGACTTTTCTGAGTTGACAGAAATGTTTTATATCTTAATTTAGGGTAGGGGTTTTATAGCTTTCAACTTAAATTTGCATCTGATTGTGCATAAATTTTACTTATGAAAAAATGTACCTCACCAAAATTATCAATTATTATATACCATGGACCTTTATAATTCTTTGCAAATACTTGAGACTTACTATTAAAACTGCCAATATCAGGGCCAGGGATGTAGCTCAGTGGTTCCTCCACCTGCCTTGCAAGCACAAGGACCTGAGTTCAATCCCTGGTACCAAAAAAAACTAAAACAAAACTGCCAACATCACTGAACTTTGTACTGTGTATTTTCCCCTTGTACAGTTACTTAGTATTGGTTATTTTATTTTCAGTCTGTTAAACATTGTTATGTGTACTTAAACCAGATTTCGACCTATATCAGTTGGTTTTGCCTATAGAGAATTCAGCACTGTACGTATTAGTGAAAACAGTATAGCTTTAGCAACAGAAAAATTACTAGTACTATATTAGGTTTTAGATGTTAATTTTTATGGTTAGAATTCTACATACACCCTAGATTTCCAGTTATAACAGATTTTTATTTAACTCACATCCATAATAATACTTTGGCTCCTTCTCTAACTGCAATTTTTATTTTTAAAGGGTTTTTGGCAAACTGTTTTCTTATTCTCTCTCTCTTTTTTTTTTTTTTTTTTTTTTTTTGGTAATGGAGATCGAACTTGGGCCCTTGTGCTTGCAAGGCAGGCAGCAAAACCACTGGGTTAAATCCCCAACCCTGTTCCAACCCTGTTTACTTATTCTTAGGCTCTTTAAAACAACCATTATTATGCTTTGAAGGTGAGAAATCCAGAATATGTATTTGCTATAAGCTTTGAAAACAATAAAATACACTGAAAAGAGTTTTATTAAGAGATCTAAAATTTACCCTACCCCGATAATCAATGAGTAAAGATGTCAGGTCAGTATTACAGGAAACCAGAGAGAGTTGGGGTTTGTTCTTGTCATGTTTTTCTTTATAATTTTTAGGTACAAAACTGGAACAGTGAAATTCTTGCTAAACAAAAACCTCTCATTGCCAAACCTTCTGCAAAGTTACTCTTCGTCAACAGACTAAAGGGGAAAAAATACAAAACCAGTTCCTCCACTAAAGTTCTCCAAGATGCCAGTAACTCCACTGACCATCAAATTCCAAATTCTCAGAGGGTATGTTTTTTAGTATTATATTTAGAATACCTACTTATTTTAGTTTTCTTCTATTCATGCTAAATTTTGATCATTTAAATTAGACGTTTAAAAATCTTTGTTATTCAAAGAATTTGTCCATATCTCCCTGTTTTCTAGCTTCAGCAACTTATTAAATTTAATGTTAGAAATAAAGCCAGGGATTTGGCTCAGTGGTTCTGCCGCCTGCCTCACAAGCAGGAGGGCCTGAGATCAATCCCCAGTACCAAAAAAAAAAAAAAAAAAAAAAAAAAAATATCATGGGTTTATGGATAAGTATCAAGGAAATCTCTAAGATAGCTATTCTATATCCTTATAAGAGGATCAAAATAAGTTACAAGGAAGGTAGTTCACATTATCAAGTCCCTTTTTCAAGCAATGAAAGCTTTTGAAAAAATTTACTGTTTTTTTTGAACTGTTGATTTCTCTTGGCCCCCTTGTCAGAATTTCGTCTATATCTACCCACCTTTGTAATATTCTTTTCCTTGATTTCTGTCACTGGTTTCTTACACAGCTTTACTGGACTGTGTATGACTAACAAATGGAAAAATTATAGGGTAGATATAAATGGTTCAGGAATATTTTGTAGATCCAGAGCAGAAGTGAATCATATTGATGTACACAAATAATAATATTAATGGGGATAAAATATCTTTAACCTCACATGGAAACTGAACAACACTCTCCTAAACAATCAATGGATTACAGAGGAAATTAAAGAAGAAATTAGACAGTTTTTACAAATAAATGAGAATGCCAATACAACATACAGGAATCTTTGGGACACAATGAAAGCAGTTCTACGTGGAAAATTCATAACATTGAATGCCCACACTAGGAAAACAGAGCGGGCTCAAATAAACAACTTAACGATGAAACTTAGACTCCTAGAAAAACAAGAGCAAGAAAAACCCAAAGCTCGAACAAGAGAGGAAATTATAAAGATCCGAGCAGAAATCAATGCAATTGAAATTAAGAAAACGATACAAAAAATAAATGAAACAAAGAGCTGGTTTTTTGAAAGAATAAATAAAATTGACAAACCCTTAGCTAATCTTATCAAAAAAAGGAAAGAAAAGGCTCAGATCCATGCAATTAGGAATGAAAAAGGCGAAGTCACAACAGATCCGAAAGAAATCCAGAGGATCATGAACACCTACTTTGAGAACCTGTACTCTAATAAAATGGAAAACACAGAAGAAATGGACAGATTTCTAGATACTTATGAATTACCAAAGTTGAACGAAGAAGATAAAAACATTTTAAACACCCCAATCACAATCAGTGAAATTGAAAATGTAATTAAAAACTTACCAACAAAGAAAAGCCCAGGCCCTGATGGATTCACTGCTGAATTTTACAAGACATTTAGAGAAGAACTACTACCATTACTCTTCAAACTTTTCAATGAAATTGAAAGAGAAGCTATACTTCCAAATTCATTCCTGGAAGCAAGTATCACTCTGATTCCCAAACCAGAGAAAGATACAACCAAAAAGGAGAACTACAGACCAATCTCCTTAATGAATATAGATGCAAAAATCCTTAATAAGATACTAGCAAACAGAATACAGAGGATTATTAAGAAGATCATCCATCATGACCAAGTCGGATTTATTCCAGAGATGCAAGGGTGGTTCAACATACGAAAGTCAGTGAATGTAATACATTATATTAACAAAGTCAAGGACAAAAACCATATGATCCTCTCAATAGATGCAGAAAAAGCATTTGATAAAATTCAACACCCATTCATGATAAAAACCCTGCAAAAAATTGGAATAGATGGTCTATACCTCAATTTAATAAAGGCTATTTATGAAAAACCATCAGCCAACATCATATTGAATGGCCAAAAACTGAAAACCTTCATGTTAAAATCAGGAACAAGACAAGGATGCCCACTATCGCCACTTCTCTTCAATATAGTTCTGGAAACATTAGCCACAGCAATTAGACAAGAGAAAGAAATTAAAGCAATAAAGATAGGAAAGGAAGAAGTTAAACTATCATTATTTGCTGATGATATGATACTCTACATTGAAGATCCAAAAAACTCCACCAAAAAACTTCTAGACTTAATTGACAGATTCAGTAAAGTATCTGGATACAAGGTGAATACCCAAAAATCAATAGCCTTTCTATACACAAATAACAGACAGACAGAAAGAGAAATAAGGGAAAAAATTCCTTTTACAATAGCATCCAAAAAAATGAAGTATCTAGGAATCAATCTAACAAAAGAAACAAAAGATCTCTACACTGAAAACTACAGCACTCTGAAAAAAGAAATCGAAGAGGATATAAAAAAATGGAAAGATATCCCCTGCTCCTGGGTAGGAAGAATCAACATAGTGAAAATGGCCATACTACCGAAACTGCTATATACATTCAATGCAATGCCAATTGAAATTCCAACACTATATTTCACAGAACTAGAAAAAAGAATCCAAAAATTCATTTGGAACCACAAGAGACCTAGAATAGCAAAAGCCATTATAGGCAACAGTCACATGGCACCAGGTGTAACAATTCCCAATTTGAAACTATACTACAAAGCCACTGTGATAAAATCAGCATGGTACTGGCAAAGAAATAGGCCTGAGGATCAATGGAACAGACTGGAAGACACAAAAACAAATGCAGATGTACTCAGCTACCTCATCTTCGACAAAGGAGCTCACCATCCTCAGTGGAGGAAAGATAGCCTCTTTAATAAATGGTGTTGGAAAAACTGGATATCAACCTGTCACAGATTAAAATTAGACCCTTATCTTTCGCCATGCACTAAATTAAAATCCAAATGGATTAAAGATCTAAATATTAAAACAGAAACATTAAACTTGCTGGAAAGTAAGTTAGGCAGAACTCTGGAAGACATTGGTATAGGAAAAGACTTTATGAACAAATCCTCAGTAGCACGGGAACTAGCAGAAAGAATCAACAACTGGGATCTCATCTTACTAAAAAGCTTCTGTACTTCAAAAGAAACCATTAGCAGAACTAAGAGACAATCTACAATGTGGGAAAAAATTTTTACCAGCTGTACCTCAGACAAAGGACTATTATCAAGGATATATAAAGAACTCAAAACAATCAGTCCCCCCAAATATAAAGACCCGATCCAAAAATGGGCATCCGAAATGAACAGACATTTCTCATACAAAGAAGTGAAAGCAGCAAGAAAATATATGAAAAAATGTTCCACATCACTGGTCATTCGAGAGATGCAGATGAAAACAACACTGAGATTCCACCTCACCCCACAAAGAATGGCTGCTATCAAGAAATCACACAATAACAAATGTTGGCGGGGTTGTGGGGAGAAAGGAACCCTCCTCCATTGTTGGTGGGAGTGCAGACTAGTGCAACCACTATGGAAATCAATATGGAGATACCTCAAAGAGCTTGGACTGGAGGTTCCATTTGACCCAGCCATCCCTCTGTTGGGTATCTTTCCAAGAGAACTAAAAGAATCATATCACAGAGAAGTATGTGCACCCATGTTTATAGCGGCACAGTTTGTAATAGCTAAATCTTGGAAACAACCTATTTGCCCATCCGTTGGAAACTGGATAAAGAAGTTGTGGTTTTTCTATAAAATGGAATATTACTCAGCCATAAAGAGCGAGAGAATAGATTCATTCATAGGAAAATGGATACATATTGAAGATATACTCCTAAGTGAAATAAATAAGTCCCACATGTGTAAATACCGAATAGTTTCCCTGGTGTGAATATTCTGCAACAATGCATAAGATTCTAATAAGATTACTGACATTTAGAAATGGGAGGAAAGGAGCTAAAGATGTAGGGAAGGTGTGATACGTAGGGGAAGAACAAAAAGGGAAAAGAAAAAAATGTGAGAGAATGAAAAGATGAAAATAAAGTGTTTGTAGATGGGGAGGGGAGGAGGGGGTGAAGGGAGGGCAGAGGTAAGGGGAAAAAAATGAGAATCAAGACTTGCCATGTAAAGGTACATGATCCCAACAATGAATGTAACTGTACTGTATCCCTAAATGTACCAATAAACTCAATTAAAAAAAAAAAATATCTTTAACCTGCAAATGCTTATTCATTCTTAAAAAGCCAACACAAATACTTCTGTGAACTTTTCCTAAAAATTGGTTAACAGCCCTCCTAAGCTCATAACAACATTATGTCTGTGTCCCTCTATCATACTTATATTATGAAAAGAATTTTTTTAAAAGTTGCTTGTATTAAACATGGCATTCATCGTTTCAGTTTTGAAGCCTTCTAAATAAAAGTATTGACAGCCCCCCTCCTCATCACCCAAAATGCATTTATTTACAGTTTATATATTTTCAGGATCTTTAATATAACTACTTTGAAGCCAAGTATGATGGTACGTGCCTTTAATCAGAGCTAACTAGGAGGTTAAGGCAGGAGGATCAAAGTTCCAAGCCAGTCTGAGAAATTTAGCAAGACCCTGTCTCAAAATAAAATTTGAAAAGAGCTGGGTTCAATGATAAGCTCTTGCCTAGCCTGCATGGGCCCTGGATTTAATCACCAGCACTGGAGAAAAACAAAAACAAAAACATTGGAAAGCATTCTGTTTGGAAAAATATGCTTGCTTTCTTAGTTTAACAGTTCTTACAGAGATTGGTTTACTTAAATTCTTTTGTAGAATCTTGGAACTGAACTTTTAACTGGAAGATGTCTGTATTGCTAACATAGCTAGCTGTATGTGTGTATATACAGTTACATTTCGGTCTGAGAGACTGTGTACAGAATAGGACACACGTACAGCCTCGGTGTGTAGGAGGCTGTGTACGTGTACTGCTGGTCACGTGGTACATTGCGCAATGGATTGCCATTTTAAGTGATACGTGACCGTATTTGCAAAAATTGTTCAGTACCTATAGTGGTTCTCTAGACCAAGACTTGATACTTAGAAATACAGGAATTAAAAGTTAAAAGAACTAGGAATGGCCTTTTAAGTTGAATTGGTGATTACTCTGTTACCAGTTTTGTTACTTATATTCTTAGAAAATTAAATATTGACCTTTCATTTTAAACCTTTTGCATTTGGGTGCATCTTGCTGTTGTTCATTAATGATCAATGGTAAAAATATTTAAGTGTACTCAATTCTGTCAATGTTTAGAAAATCAGTGCAGAAACTATTGGAGATGAAGGATTCTTTGACCTGTTGAGCCGATTTCAAAGCAATAGGATGGATGATCAGAGGTGCTGCTTACAAGAAAAGAACTGCCATACGACTGCCACTGCAACTTCTTCCACTCCCCCAAAAATGGTGCTGAAGGGTCAGTCATCTGTGCTTCTCCTCTGTTTTTTGTAGTTCTTGATATTCTTAGGATTTATATCTGAGACTTTAGTTCTTATCATAGGATATAATGAACCTGAATCCAAGTATACTTAAAATGCTGGTATTTGTACAGTTCAAGGTTTTTTCAGTTCCCTTAAGTCTGTGTTTAATCCATTATGCTTTGTATTAACTATATCAATACTACCTCTCTCTTTTCATCAGAGTTGGGACAAATCTGACTTTAAATGATGGGCTAGAAGCTGGGCATGATGGTGCATGCCTGTAATCTCAGCTCTTAGGAGGCTGAAGCAGGAGGATCGCTGCAAGTTTGAGACCAGGCTGGGCTACATAGTGCATTCCAGGGCAGTCTGAACTACATAGAGACCCTGTCTCTCTCTCTCTCTCTCTCTCTCTCTCTCTCTCTCTCTCTCTCTCTCACACACACACACATAAATATGATGGGCTAAGGATATAGCTCAGTGGTAGAACTCTTACCTACAAAGTGTGAGGCCCAACACTAAAAAGTAAAAATAAAAATGAGAAGAAAATGATAGTTGTATATACTTTCCTTATGATTATATATAATGTGTAAATATTTTATATCTGGAATAAAAGAAAAGCCTTGAGCCGGGGATTTAGCTCAGCGGTTCGGTGGCCTGCCTTGCAAGCGCAAGGACCCAAGTTCAATCCCCAGTACCAAAAAAAAGGAAAAGCCTTGACAGACTGAAGAGGCAGATGGCCACGACTGAAACTGAAGCTAAGGCCTAAATCTTAAGAAAGGTCCAAAATGGGTTTTTTGGTTTTTTTTTTTTTCCAAAACAGGTTCTTTAAATTTTTCTGTTTCAGCTACTAAAAGGCCCCTACCATAGACCAAGACTTGCCAGCAACACTTAGCCTCAGTTTAGTTCACTAAGTAATTCCATCCAGGAAGTGGAAGAAAAAACACTATCCCCACTCATCCTTGTCTGAGAAGTTTTATTTAAAAAGTTTACTCGCCTCACACGGTCTAGGCCTGTACTTCATAGTTACATTTCAGGTGAGCATTAGACAGATCTGAACAATTTTCATGTGGTTCCTTTGAAGTGTTCTGAGTTTCCTTCTTCGCTGCCTGCCAGTAGAAGGCACAGCCGTCTATCTATTCAAAGACCATCAAAGACAGTGCTAAAGGAGGAGGACAGGACACGTATTTGGGCTGGTAAGGCAGAAAAGAACTATGCATATAATAAACGTGTTGAAATGTTTTGTTAAGATTTTGAATTTTTTTCTATTTATAGCACCATCTGTTTCTGTGCTGTCCCCCAACACGGATGAATTCTTAGACCTTCTTGCCAGCTCACAGAGCCGCCGTCTGGATGACCAAAGGGCCAGCTTCAATAATTTGCCAGGGCTTCGTCTGACAAAAAACAGCAGACAGTCGGTACTTGAACACCTAATGACTAAGGACAACAAAGAGCCTGAAGAGGGCTTCTTTGACATCCTTGTAAAGTGTCAAGTATGTCCTGCATGTTCTTTTCATTCTGTGTATAGGTTGGATGCCTATTTAGGAAGAGTTTATTTTGTATTAGGAAGTTACTATTTATTGTTCATTATAGAGAAAACTGTTGAATACCACTTAAAATCGAGGTGCTATTTGAGGTACTAAATGTGTACTTGCTTTTTAAAGGATCTTAACTTTTAGTGGGAGAGTTAGTGAACGAACACACACACACACACACACACACACACACACACACACAGATTTAAAAATGCATGCATATATATATATAGTGTGACTGAAAAATATGGTGTTTAGATTTTTTAAAAAATTCTTACAGTAAGACACATTTATGAGATACGACTTTTTTTTTTTGTACTGGGGATTGAACTCAGGACATTGCGCTTGCCAGGCAGGCACAATACCACTGAGCTACATCCCCAGCGCTATGAGATGTGATTTTTTAAAAATATAGTGAACGCTGCTGCCACATTCCATCCAATGGAAAGGCAAATTCCTAAAAACATAAGAGTATGTACTCATCCACTTTATTCACTGAATCTGGCACCATGCAGCTTCTGGCTCTTCATAAAGTCAAATGTTTTAAATCAATTCAGGACACTGAGACAGCCACGACAACACAACTAAAGACACTCATGGAAGAGGACTTCCAGAACCGCTTCAAAAGTGGCAATAATGATAGAATAAGTATTTGAAGCAAGGGAGATTTTGAGGATTAATGGCAGTCTTTCACTATAATATTTTTTTTTTAATTTAAGCATGCGCTGTATTCTTTGATACTACACCATATATATAGACATAGAAGTAGATGTCTACACACAGAGAAAGTCAGTGATAGCTTCTGTGAAAAAATGAACAGTAGAGCCAGGGATTTAGCTCTGCTGTCTGCCTTGCAAGCACCAGGACCCGACTTTGATCCCTGGTACTTAAAAAAAAAAATGGTGAGTAATGAAAGCGTAGTGGGTGATCATGTGGTGGGGTGATGGGGAAGTGTCTCTTAGGGTGGGTAAAGAAGACCTTTCTTGGGGCTGGGGATTTAGCTCAGTGGTTTGGTGGCCTGCCTTGCAAGCGCAAGGACCCGAGTTCAATCCCCGGTACCAAAAAAAAAAACCTTTCTGGATTGCATTTTAAACAGGTTTGAATGAAGTAGTCGCCATGTGAGTAGAGAGCATCCCATGCAGAAACAGCAAATCCCCTCCTGGATATAATAACTTAGCAGTTTCAAGTGTAATTATGTCCTAGATCATTTAGGCTCTTGAAGGTCATGATGACGTCTTGTGTTCCAATTGTGTTACGAAGCTATTGGAGCATTCTGAAAGATCAACTTGGATACTGAAAGAAAAAAGTCGAGTGGCAGTTGTTTTGGTACAAAAACCAGTTAGGAAGCTAACGTGAACAAGGGTGGTGGTAGGAGTACAAGTAGAAAGGAGGTGCATTTTGAAGTTATGTTTTGTGAACAAGACATGATGATAAGCTGAATGGGGCCATGAGTAAAAGGGCTTAAGGATGGCTTGTCTTTGGTATGAGTAATAGGATGAATGAATGGTGACAGGGAAGACTATACAGTTCGGGGAGAAAAAGCAAGAGTTTTAAATATATTAAATATGAGATCCAATTAGATAATGTAATGGAGGGGTAGAATAAGCAATTTATAAAAATGGAGCTCAAGGCAGAAGTAAATTTATGAGGCATCAGCATATAGCTATCATTAAAGCTCTTAGAAGAGATTATGTCTAAAGAATAAAGAAATAGAAAGACACATTCCTCAATCTGCTAGTTCAGACTGGGGATGTGGCTCACGAAAAAACACTTGCTCAGGGTCCTACCTATGATTACAAGTACCAAAAAAAAAAGGCAAAATCTGCTAAAGAGAGAAAAATGACCCAACAAAGCAGTGATTACCAGAGTTGGAAGAAAATCCAACCAGACTGTGGCATGGAAGAAAGTGTTGTAAAGGATGTTCAGTATATTGCTAAGAAACAAATAACATAATTGAATTGCCAGATTTGACAAGATGGGGACTATTAGTAATTTTGAAAAGGCCATTTGACTGGTATATTTGAGACAAGCGCATAATAAAATGGGAAGTATTAAAGGAGAGAGTATAAATAGAAAAAACTCACAAGAACCTTGTCTTATAAAGAGAAGTGAGGAAATACAATTCAGTGGAGTGCATGCAGGGTAAAGATGGGCTTTTCCTTTTCCTTACTTTAGGTGATAATACATCATGTCCACAGACAGAAATGGTCTAGTAGGAAGGGGAGTCAGTTCAAAGTGGGAGAGATTTTTTTGATGAAAATACACACACACACACACCCACCC